AGATTTATTATGATTTTTTTCCGAATTTTACCATTTTAGAAGTCGACCGCCTCCATATATTCTTGACTGTGATGTTGGGCAACCAGAAATGAATCCACCAGGAAGCATTTCACTAATAAAGCTCAATTCGCCACTTCTAGGTGCTTCTTGCGTTTGTGGTTGTTTTCTGAGAAATTAAACCTTTCCCAGTTCTCTTTTCTTTCCTTCTCTCTCTCTCTCCCTCCCTTCCTAATTTTTTTATTTATCTCTTCGTATATTCAACAAAAGTTATTTGATTTTTAAAACTTTCAGGTGCACCAGCGTTCCAGCAGCGGGTCGTTTTGTCAGATACTTATTTTTACGGAAGAATTTCTTTGAACGGTGATTCAAGTTCATATTTGGCTATTCTTCGAGAATCTTTGGGTTGCTTCTTGAGTGATAGTCTCCCATCATCTGCACTTTTGATTAATACTTGTGGATGGATTGAAGGTATTGCTATTGATGACAATTTTTCAGTTTTTTTCAAATATAAATTATTTTATTGAGTTTATGTTATCTTGACCAAAAATGCAGAAATATAGATTTTGAATGTAGCTGTTACCAAGCAATTGAATTTCAGGACAAGGTGCTTCGCTTCTGGATAAAATGTTGAAATTATTTGATCCGGACTTTGTGTTTACTTTTATTACTACATCAGGATCAAATTACGTGGTAATGGGCATATCGATAAAAGTTAAGATTGTGTTGCATAGGAAAGCTTTCCACTTCGCAAAATTTACCACTCTTCATCAGATATTTATCTTTCTTTTCACGAATCGAAAGAACAAAGTATCTGATAATCTGTTGCTTCATTTTTTTTCAGGCTCAGCAATCTACTATCAATGGAAGTGTAAAACCGCTTGTATTTTGTGGCGATGCTATTGAAAAGCCTACGTAATTTTCTTCTATGCAGACAAAATTCAAAAAAAAAGTATTAATCCAAAATGAAACAGAAATTAAGTCGGCGTTCCCTGTTAAGTGTTATTTTAGCCATAAAAAAAGCTGAAAAGACAGGTTTTTGCAATTTTGCACAGAAAAGTGGAAATAAGCCTCCTTTTTCCTTATCTGTTTCACCCTTTTTGTTTTTTGGAGGGAGAGGGAAGAATATTGTAAGTGTAATATTTTCACTAAACTGAGTGAATTATACTGCCAATAAAAATAAGTGCAATGAATCATCAATAATACACTTTCAAAATATAACACAATGTAACCGTATTCATTGGCTGAATAGTTCCTAGGTTTGCAAAATTCGATTTGTGAAATTGGAATTTATGAAATTCAGGCATATGATCTCCACTTCTTCGATTTTACGAAATCTCCGGATAACGGCATATATGGCACATGCATGTCCCGTTCCAACCGTAAAATCATTTGCCGATGCCACTCCTTTCGCGGTAATGTTCCGCAGTGTGGCACTGTTGGTGCACACAAATGAGCCATTTCCTGCAAATCATATATTTGCCGTTTTGAATTGTACTTTTGTCGCTCTTTGTATTCGTAATTCTACCAGTCAGTCTGAAGAGGTTGATTTTTTTTTTTTGGTCAGTCAATCTATTATACTTGAAGTGATCTATGGTAATTCAGATTTCTTTAGATATAACAGTTTTATATTTTTACACTTTTACACAACTAGGAACTTTTTGATTTCAAAGAAAATTCCAATTAGTTATTTCCGGTAAAATCAAGCACTTTTTCGTTTCGATTACAAATTCAGAATTAACTCGTGAGCTTATACGAGCTATAAGACATAGAGAGATTGTAAAAAGTGAAAACGGATTTTTTTTCTTTTATGTTGCTAATGTGCGATATTTTTTGATACGAGGGGAAAGAAAACTATAGAGAAACAAGACACATCAAGTGAAAACTTTCGTGTAAAATAAGAATATAGAGCTGTTAGGCCCTCTTGAATTTGTTATCGGTATGTAATCTTTTAGACAGCTTCACGTTCGTTTAAGTTTGAAGCAAGCAGTAGAATTTTTAAAGCTGCTGGAAGTGAAAAGTGTAGTTTTCCAGTTCTGAATTATTTAAAAGGTATGCTTATTTAAAGGATGAGAGACTGTTCGGCGATCAAGATATGCCGATTTTGTTAAATCCAGATAAGGTAGAACTATTGCGCGTCGTCGGTTATGGATTTATCAGGGCGATTGATTTGGAACAACGCACTTTCTTTATTTCAACGCCACTTGAGCTGTCAAACCTTGAAGAAGTTAATGTCCTAGCGCGTGGCTTAAACATTGATCTTCCACAATACTTCCTTGTTTCACAGGTTCCATTTATCTTCTAATCTTCATTGGTGAATTGTTTTGCTCACTTTACATTTCCATTACAAGTTCTTCAGTTGAAATTGTGCAGTATTCCTTGCAAGATTAAAAAATATACCATCAGAAAGTTGCCATGTTTCATTCATTATTTTGTCATAGTTATATTCGGTGACTTTCCAGGAGAGATCCGCGATACCATATGTTGTTCGAGAACGTTCTTCCTCCTTCCATACCGAGTTATTCAAAGAGTTAAAGATAAAATCAGTTTTCCACAGGAAAAGGTTTTTGAGAATGCAAACTCAGTTTATGGTGAAAAAACCGATGAACAAACCTGTGTTGCCAAGTTAACATTCACTTTTCTATAAAACTGGAACATCAAAACCATCTTAAAAAGAAATAACGATGATCTGAAATTGCCAAATGTTTAAGAAAAACCGTTCATCTATTGACTCCCACCATTGCCTTCAATTTTAAAAAGGTTATCTTCATATTACTGGTCCTTCTGTTCAGGTATTGAAAAGGATTATTTATGTACAATTGTTGGTTGTTGTATTTTTTTTTTTTGTTTCTTTTTCTTGAAATCATTGATTATTGAATTTTCAAGGTTAAATTTTGAATTTCCCAAATATTCTTACTTGCAACGTTTCAAAAGACGTGAAGAGCTTAACATGTTTGATTTTAATACTTCGTAAACAATTTGAGATGGGATGATTTGCTAAGCCACCCAAAATTTTTCCTTAACTCTTGTCTCTAAGGATACAGACAATTTCCTTTCATCCTTTTCACTGTAGCATGCTATTATCATGACGTTGCAGTTGTTCAAGGTTATCGGTCACTTCACTAACATTTCCTTATATCATGAATGTGGCTTGTCGACATTCTGGGTAGCGTGAACTTTACAAAATATCTTTCCAAGAAATGATTCGAACAGTTTGCATTTGCAAATCTGAACCTGATAGATCAAATGAAAAAAAAAAGAGGAAAACATATTGAAATATATATTTTAATCAAAACGTTCAGAATGAAGTAATTTTTACGTTGGGAATACAAATTTTGAATAGTATGGTTAGTTGACTTAAATGTATCAATCTGATCAGTTGAAATTTAAATTTTTGTTCAGCAGTATATATATTTCATTATATTCATTGGTATCACAAATATTCATTGACAAATTGTAACCATTGTTTTAACGGATTTTATTACTTCTTCGATGTTCCTTTGTATACTTAAATACAACTCATGAAGATGATAGCAGTAATATGCAACATTTATTTCCGATCGTTACGGTAAAAACTCAATATTTCGTAAATGTAACGGTTGCTGAATTGAATCAAATCATAACTGCTTGGCTAGAAGAACAGAATCGGCAAGTATCAGTGCGTTGATGAATTTTCTTTTTTTTACAAGAAAAAAAGACTTTTGATGATTCTTTTTTAATTTTTAAAACATTTTACTATCTTTTAATTTCTTCAAAAAAATTTTCAATAATAATTCACAAGTCGGAAATTTTTGGGGTAAAATTCTGAAACTCCTAAACGAAGCCAATCAATTTCCTTTTCTATTTCCTCTTTTTTTCCCGAGTTATCTAGATTTACGCATAAATCCAAAAATTGTTATTACCAATAAAATTGACAAATAATTTCTATACTTTAGGCAAAAAGTGTCTCCAAATATTGTGGGACATGTGCAAGAATAGTAATTTCTAGATATAATGCACTAATGAATGAAAAATTATTAAATGTAAGAAGATAATAAACAATGATGTTTGTGTAAAAGAAACTAAATTTAAAACGATACTGCAAATGTTGAAAAGATAATCATATCGTATTGATAAATAAAATTATGCGGGACAAATTTAGCAACGAATGATTACAGTATGTCTTTTCAGTTTGATAAAAGCCAAAGAAATAAGACTCCAAAAATTTTCATTCGAAATAATCATTAGACTGGTAGAAAGATGTATGTAATCAATGTAAGATTAATTCATCATTGATTAAATTGACATAGTTAAAACATAAATTTACAATATCATTGTAAATAAATGATAATAAAGCTAATGTTAGTGATAATGATAGTGATAGACCAATGATTCATGCATGATTTTATCTGATTGTTAAACTTTCAGGCACTGAAGGGAGATTTTTGGATGATGTAAGATGATTCATTCATTTAATAATTAGCTATTGTCCAACATTACGTGTCCTAACGTGAAAACGTTAGCATGGATACAGTTTATCAGGATGATAGCAAAGCAATTTCACGTCAAACTTTAATAACTAGCCAGATTCTATTAGCGATAACAATTAATACTATAATTCGAAATCTTCAACTGCGCTAATGCTTCATTCCAAACTTTAAACGGTTCATAGTGAATTGATTGAAGTTCCTTACTCAAATGAAATTTTAATATCTATTAGTATTATTTGCAATTTAATTACTGGACCTATTTTATTAAATTATTTCGGATTACTTGTCCCACCACAATTTCTATATGTGATACAAGCAACTCTTATCACGATTATATGCAAATGTTCGGCAAATAATTTCAGTGATAAATTTGTGAATAATCAACTGAAATTATAATTTAAAAATGGATAGATTTCAAATTGATTATATTCCGAATTAACACAGGGATAATGATGACTGTCAAAAGATCGTACTGTCAAAATGTGTCTGTCTTATCAAAAATTGTGTCAAATAGTACTGTCAAATCGACGTCTGTCACCTGTCTGTCAAAAATATTGTCAAAAATTGTCAAAAAATCGTTGTCTGTTATCTGTCAAAAATCATACTTTCAATAGTGGGATTTTCGACAAATGTTTCGACAATCCCATTTAACTGCATAAATACTTGAGCAAAAAATTTTCAATACTTTCCATTATTGTTTCTACTTTTTATAAAAAAAAAAAATTTATGGATGTGATCTTGTAGTAATTTCATGATTTACCTGAATAGTTTGGACGAAACTTTTAAAATTAGGCTCTTTTTCAAACTTAAACATAGACTGTGACATTATTTATTTCATATCATTATCTTTTCTTAATAACTATGAAAAGCTTTTGTCCATTCTTTCATTGTTCAAAAGTATACAAGACTAATGTTTTGTATTTCAGATGGATAGGACAGGTACATATTTCCATTAATTGTCCAGAAGAAAGTCCACGAATTATGTTAATTGCCAAGGATAAACAATTAATTACAAAATATTGATAAGTGAATTAAATAGTGAAAGGTGAAGGATATGATACATTTTCCTGCAAATGTGTATCATTCAAATGCTTCTTAAAGTACATTAATTAAATCAATATGAAATAAATTCCTCATTTATTGGTAAGAATTAAAAAATGGTGAAAAGAAAATTCGTAATTTGGGTAGCAATTTAAATTGGCTTAAATTATGTTATGCTTACATTTTAGATTGATTTAAATATGAATTTTTAAGCGTTTTTGATTGTAATTTAAGTTACTTTAATTATGAATTAAGGTAACTTAAATTACAATCAAAATTCGATGATTTAGTAAGAAAAAAAAAAGGGTGAAATCTTTGACCGTTTGAATTCTTCGTTTTAAAACTTTTCCATTCATTTATTCCTACATTTGTAACTTTGATGATTTATCTCCTACATGGAAAAAGTTGTGAATACGGTAAGATTGTGCATTTGAAATAATAAAAATTAAAAATTCAAGTTTAATTAAATTAAAGTTCAGGTAATACTGAATGCAAGAATGGCCAGTAATATTAAGGCCTGAATTTTATTTATTCAAATTTAGTATTAGATCGCAAAAATATTCGATCATTTTTGCATTTGCAGCTAAAATAAACCAATTTGGACAAAGAAAGTTTGGCGCAAATCAAATAAATGTTTGTTCAAAAATTTAATTTTTTAGATTCCAGCTTTTTTGCTTTTTATTAATTAATTGATACATTAATGACATCTAATGCTAAAATATTAGACTGAATGATGTTGCATTCAGTCTGATAATACAAAATCAGTTACTTGTTCTATTGCTCTCCTTCATTTAATATAATTTCCCTAATTTAATTAAATTTTTAATTAAAACCATTAATTTTATGTTGATACTCTTGATGAACTTATACTGTATCGGCACTGTATATTCCAAATGATGATACATATAGTATCGTTTATTATAAATAGCCTTTATAAAATATAAAAAATTATAAATAACCGTGTTTTTTTTCCTTTAATTGAATGTTTCGATCAGTTCAATATCGTCATGTGAAAATGTCAACAAGCATTATGTGTGAAATTGTTCATGTTGACAAGAAGAATTCATCACATTTGGTTTTTTCAACAGAATATTCTGTATTAGTTGTCGCAAATTATTTCTGGTAATTGACATAAATTGATAATATTGGATATCATCAGAATTTGATAATCTGAAATGAGATTTGAATTTATCATAAAGTAGAATTATAAGATTAAAGTTTTTTTTTAACTGATAATTTCTATGATAACAACTGATCCTTACATTGGTCCAATTAAAAAACTTAAACTTTTACTGGAAAATGAAACCTATTTAAACGCAACTAACTGACACCGGCATGAAAGTTGTCTTTACGATGTAGGTCCCGACAAAAGGAATTATTGCTTGTCAAGTGTCGTAAAAACGAAACCTCAAATAAATTCATTCACACTGTAAATTAATGCTAACGATACTATGAATCACTTTTAACATATCTACATTCCTTAAAATTATTTCCCACACTTTTTTATTATTATCTTATCTAACCAATTTGCATCCTTATGTTTAAACCCTTAATTTCCCATGTTAATCTTTCTGTTTAATCTTGTTATAATGCTTGTACCATATCCGGTGTGTTTCCGATACTTGAATTCTTCATGTAAACCACTCCCATTTCTTAACATATATAATCTCGGGTACCAAATCCGGGGGAGATTTGGAGCTGCTCTCCTCTTTGAAGGTGATCGGCTTCTTCTGTTTATTCTTCGCTTCTACGGATATTGGCGGATTTTTATCAATTTCTTATCACGATAAAGGTTAATATCCCTTACTGTTGCGTATTCATAAGACAAATCGACTCCCTGACAAACCCTTTCGCACTAAGTTAGCGCTTCTTGAATTTGAATAGATTTGATTGGAGTTTAATTACCCAATCTCTGAGCTCGGCAAATAAATTATCTGGTAATCATTATTATTTCACGACATCAAGTAATATATAGTGATATGCGATATTCATTTCGATATATTGTCCTACAGATTAATGGAATCAGTTTCGGATCATTGTATTCACAAGATATACGATATTCATCTCGAGTACTGTGTTATTTGAGAAGAGTGGGGAAAAAAATGTGAGGTTTAAAAAACCCAAGATTTGAATTTCTTAAAAGTTTATGCAACTATTAGCAACATATTTGCGCTTTTAAATTTCAAAAAAATTGTTTCTCTCAAGGATTTAAGATATTAACTACATTTTTCAAAATTAATTAATGAAAGAAACGAAAGGTGAAACAAATGAAAACG